CCTTGGCAGGAGGAACAGGCTCGAAAACCTCTGTCCACAACCCGAACGGGGCAGCCCCTGAAACCGCCGAGTCTCGGCCCCAACCCCAAAACCCGCAAATGGACCGGAGCCGGGAACAGGGAGGGAAAGGGGGGATCAGGGAGGGAAAGGGGCGAACAGCATCTAACCAAAACGGGGCGTCCCCGGGGCATCCGAGAGGGAAACCAACCTAGCGTATTGCAGCAACCTAACCTAGCTTGCAACACGGATGCTGCCTGTACTCTGAACAGTAATAACATCAGGAGAGTACTGGAGAACAAGCAAAGAATATCTCTCGCAAGACTCCGGGTCAAGGTGACAGTGACCCAACAGGCAACATGACGGAGGTAAAAGTGGCGACTGTCACCTGGAGACAAGGGCACAGCAACCAATGATCCCGTACAAGATGGGTTGGAAGTGTCTTTTGCCTATTTGTTCAGAGATCGGCCACTCTAAATTGATGTGTGCAGTTCAACCAGCTCGTTGTATATATATATAATTGAGGTGTTCATCCTGCTTTTTCTTGATAACGTCAATTTTAAATTGGAGTAATCCCTCCTGTAACATAAATAAAAATTTTCTTTCCTAAGATGAAACTTCAAAATACTTTACACTTATCTTATTAGCATAAGATTGCACTGCTCGTGCAGTGCACAGGGAGCCGAGCGGACAGCACGCTGGACTTGTGATCCTGTGGTCCTGGGTTCGATCCCAGGCGCCGGCGAGAAACAATGGGCAGAGTTTTCTTTCACCCTATGCCCCTGTTACCTAACAGTAAAATAGGTACCTGGGTGTTAGTCAGCTGTCACTGGCTGCTTCCTGGGGGTGGAGGCCTGGTCGAGGACCGGACCGCGGGACACTAAAAAGCCCCGAAATCATCTCAAGATAACCTCAAGAAGATCAAGATAACCCGGAAGACACAGTCAACGGTCCACTGAACCCCGATAGGGGTTTCCAGGGCCCGTAGGGTAACAACTACGGGAAGCCTGGGCAAGGTGTTGCTAATCGGTTAAGAAACACAAAAATAACAAGAGGGTACAGGACAACACTGAAAACCCCTGTGACGTGTACAATCACGGGGGTCTAGCAGAGGGCCACCAAACACTACCAGTGGAACTATAGGCACACTAAGTAGACCCCCACCAGGCAAATGAAAATAAAAGAAAAACCCTGCAAAAGTACACCGTCTCCAGAGGCAACAGGAACTGGTCGCTGCTTAGGTGGCAGGTCGCGGAACACCTTGACGCCCAAACCAGCACAATACCAGTCCTTACCCAGGACCAAACAAGGGCCCCAAGCCCCAGCTGGCCCCAAGGGCGAGGCAAATGCCGAGCAGCAAGAACCTCTACGGGAATGGTTCCCAAACGCCCCAGGGAAGATAACCCTGTCACATAGGGGCAGTACTCACAGGGCGCTTAGGGAAGGAAGCCCCTAAGCACATGCAGCCCTGGTACTGATGAACACCTGGCCACCACACAACACAACACACGGCAGTGAATGCCATACAAGGCAAACACCGCCTAGGAAACCGAGGCCAGAGAAGCGTCTATCCCGGTTGACATTAGCTTACGAACTAATGCTAGGCAGCAGACGCAGTGATGTCCGAGGCTTCCCCCTCCCCCTCTCGGGGCGGGGAGGGCTGCGCGGACGATCGGCGCAGCAGTAAAGTGTGATGTTTGCTTGTTTCCTTCGGATTGTAGGAAGTTTCTACCTCTCTGTTCGGTTTTTTGTTTTAGTTTTTTACCATGTGGGGTTTGTTTTGTTATGCCTACCTTTCTGGGTGCCTAACCCCGGTCGATGGCAGATAAGGAAAACCCCAACCACAAGGGGGCTTTTCCAGGACCATTGCTCCCTGAAACCTCTCTGAAAGGGCCAGGTTCTGGCGCTGGTCCCTGGTAGGTCTAAACTCCTTAGCTAATGTCCTGGTCTAATATAACATGCATCAGCCCAATAAGCTCCAGGGAGCCGTAGGGTCTCCCCACAGAAAATTTATGGTAGTGGGAATGAAAATGACATTGAAGCCTTACAAAGATATCTCCAAGAACCTCACAAATGTTCAGAAGACTGACCAAGGCAAGACCTTGCATGTGCAGCATAGCAACCCATGGCACAACTACCAAATTAATAACATTACAGCAGATTGATGAAGAAAAGGCCCTTGGAGTCAAAATCCACCATTCACTGAAAGTTGCACAACAGATAGAAGCAGCAGTCAAAAATACTAACCAAACACTTTGAATAATCAAGCATATCTTTGACTTTACTGAAAATAAGGTAGTGATTCAACTATAAATCTCTGATGCATTCCCATTTGTATTACTGTATCCAAGCGT